GTTTCTGAATGTGGTTCTATGTTGTTGTTGAGTAAGATGTTGCAGCATCTTCATCAACAATCATAATTTTTTTTACTGTTATGTCTTTTCAGTCAGATGTTGAAGGAATATGTCACCGCATCTTGATCTGGTTATGCAGTACAGAAGGCGCTACTGTTTTAAATCTTGATAAATTTAATTTGATTCTGGAATATTTCTTTTAGATATGTTTTAGTAAATTTCGAAGGTCAAGAAGATTTTATCTGGAACAAGTTTTCATATCTCTATCTGTGCATTGGTTGCCTAATTGGGTCTTGTCATAATTTAGGAAACTTTGTATTGGTTATTCCAAGATTTAAGGAGATTTTTTTTGCACAACAGATACAAATCTCAACTTGTGGATCAATAAAGTTATGGACTCGGAATATCGAAGCCCATGAATTGAAGAAGTGTATTTAAATAAGACCTAACCTAATGTATCTTTGATCTTTCAACAATTGTAAAATTAGGGGAAGAAAATAGTCTTAGGTTTTGAGAGTCTCTTGTATATTGTGTAGGTGTTTGGCACCCTTGTATCATTTGATACATGCGGTTTGATTATTGTTCTCACTCATAAGCCTTTAGGAAATGAGTTTAGTATTGTTCTTGGAGGAAGCTTTTAAGAAAATATAAGTATTGTTCTTGATCAAGAGTCTTGGATTAGTATTTGTAATTTGGAAGTGTGATCTTCCTATTTATTTTCATGTTGCTGTGATTGTGACTTGTTTTGAGACATTCCCTGTGATTAGGATTGCTTGTTTATCACTACGGTGATTGGAAGTGGGATGTCAATTTCTCATATCTAGGGAGGACCTAGGTAGAAGTACCATTGGGTAGGTATTAGGCGAGAAGTTTTAAGCTTAGGACTAGTTTAGCTTTGAACTAATACTACTAATAGTGGACTTCCTTACTGGCTTGGTAGCCCACATAGTATGCGAGTTAGAACCGAACTGGGTTAACATATTGTTGTGTTCTTTATCTTTCTGCTGTTTAAATTTCTATTATAAATCTGTTCAGAATGTCAGATCAGATATTGTAACATATCTCTTGACATTGTTCTAATGTTGGAACTTTAGTATTTCCATGTGTTGCATGTACCAGAAGAATTTCTAGCTCCGTCTCATGTTTCTACAATTTACCAAATAGAGTAGCGAACTAAGGTTTAAGAATTTAAAGAATTTTACAACCACGTCCTTATTTTAAAAAGTTTTCCCCCAAGTTCTCATGTGATTTACAATATGAATGAATTGTTTTTGCATCTAATTGATGTTTTCTTCAAGTTTCATTTTGAAGAGTTTGTACTCATGGGTTAATGTGCCCAACCACAACTTTTTTACCCCAATAGTTCCTTCATGGGTAACTTGAATTTATCCCACATTTCTTTTACATTATCATTGTGAGAAGCACACAAAAACTCATCAAGATCAAGAGTGACAATGGTTATTGTCTTAGCTTTTAAATTGAGTTGTATTTTTTCTATTTCTTATTTGGTCTAGTTAACTTCGTGTTTGTTCACCACAATGTCATTTACTTCATGTGTTCAAACAAATGGCACTGATTTCATAACCTTCCTAATAACATGATCCATCTCTTCGATGAATTTTCTCATCTTCTCTTTCCACAAACTATACCATTATTCATTAAAGGATGGAGGTTTGTTTAGTGAATCACCTGAAGCCATTTCCTTCCTTTTGGAACGATTAGTTTTTAACATGAGTTAGACTTTGATTCCATTTGTTAAACAAATGACTCAAAGCACAGTATGTGTGTGGGAGGAGGGGTGAATTGTGATATTCTAAAATCTTGATTAATTTAAAAAAATTATTATTAAAACCAACGTTTTGTGTTAGTATGAAAAGATAATACAAATACTCAACGAAAAATAGAAATAAGGAAATAGAAAGGCAAAAAAATTATGAAAGAAAAATAAAGAGATATGGATAAGAGAGATTGCACCATATTTATAGAGATTTGGCCGATCTCTTGGTCTACTCCCCTCCTCAAGAAATTCATCTTGAGGGCTCCACTAAAATAAAATATTTTAACTTTTACCAGGTTATACCCAAGAACCTTCTTATAATCAATTGAGAGATTTTAAAAGGATGATCCTTCAAATGAAATGAAGATTTTAATAGCCTAAGATCACAAACCAAGAACAAGATTTTGACAGATTGATTTTAGAAACCAAACAGATATTTTAGCATGTGTTTCTCATGTATGTGGTACCAATTCAACAAAGGTTCTTCTTACGATCCGGGTCCCAACATCTGAACCACGAGCCCCCTCACCTAAGCTCCAAGCCCTCTCACCTAAGCATGGGACAAGCCACTAATCCCCTCATCTGAATTCGTGAACTGCCTCTTTCACAACAACGACAACATATGATGCATGTCATACAAGTCAATACAACAACAACAATGTTTAAGGCCCCCTTCTGACAGTAAACAACATGCATTGACAACACAATAATAGTTCCCAACAAAATAGTAATATTCAACAATCACAATAACAAAAATACATAATTAATCACCATATAATTATATACATACAACACATGGTAATATTCACAATATATCATATAACACATTCACATCATTGATACGCAACTCAACAACAACATTTAGATAACTCAATTACTATCCAATCATTTGTAATAATCCACCGCAATATAATTATCAAAATTATGCACACTTCACATAAAAAATCACCAAAACACACAAACTCATCAAATAGCATAATCGATTTAATCATAATCACATGTATAATATAACACACAACAATTAAGCTTCTTCTATTATTATTAACCGCCAATGATGTTACACCTTAAGTAAAATAGTATATTAACATCCTTAAGTTCAAATTTAACTTCTTAGAATATCACCATGAGATAGTACTATGCATTAGCTTTCCAATACCTCAAACCACATCTCAAACAGAGTCACAGAACTCAAGTTATGATAAAAATTATATTTGAACCAAATTAGTCTGGTCGTGACAGATGAATCATCACAAAGCTGATGATTGTCAGCTTTTTGGATGCTATGAGGATGGTCCATCACAAGGATGATGACCATATCCCTGTTGCAGAATGCAGAAATTTCGCGTTTTTCATCGTTGGAGGTATTCCGGGCCTCCGATTTCGAATTTGTAAAAAGTCACGGTCTCAAAATTCGACATAAACCAATTATCGAATTATTAAAATAACAAATTTACAATATATCACAAATTGGCATCAATAAAATCATATATTGTCATCATCAATTTCCTTGATTTTAAGTTTATGTTCAAGTCTTCAAAACACAACAATGGGGGTAGCTATCCAAATATACATAAACGAAATTTTATGAAAGATAGTCCCACTTAGAAATTCATATGAACACACATCAACAACAAATCAAAATTTAATCACAATTCACAATATAATTCTAAAGAGAGTAATTATCCCTCTTCCACCCTTTCATGCATAACATCCATATAGAAGTACTTTCTCCCCCTTACCTCAGATTTTTAGTAGCAAAATTTTAGAATTGATCAAGGTTGGTGGTTTGTGTTTTCCCCTCTTCAAGCCCTAGCCTTGCTCTCATCTATTCTCCTCAAAATTTTGTTTTCACGTATTACCAATTTGGATCTCCTTAAACTCCTTTTTATCTCCAAAAACCCAATTATTCAAACTCTTTAATGATTATATTTTCCTCTCATAATATTCACTCTTCTTTCTCTTTATTCTCTCTATTTTCTCTTTATTTCGTTCTGAACTGCAACTCTACAAATCCCACTATTTTCTATTTATTTTAATCCATTTAAAATAACTATTTATTTTATAATTATTTCTAATTACTCCACTCACACACCAAGACTCTCACTAACCCCATCATATATCACATACACATATAAAATTATAATTTATTTAATTAAAACCATATCACATACTAAATAATTAAATAAAACACAAATAATTCGATTAAATAGATTAATTATATTTCAAGATATTACAAATTTTCTACATAAAGGACAAGTGATCCCACTAAAATTAATAATCATTCTCCTTTTAAACATGTTCTCTCTAGAAGGTAATCCATATTGCAAAAGCTACCATGAGAATACCATAACACTTTAGGAGAGGTCCATCTAACCTAAATAAGGGGAAATGGCATGTTCTAGGTAGTAAGACATGTCATGGAACTAACAAAATTAATATGATAAGCAGAGGAAAAAGTGAAAAAACCATCTGTTGTATGCCAACTTTCCAAAATATATCATCATTAAACCAATCAAAGGGGTCGTCGTATTTGGACTAAGGAGAGTCACATATTTCAAACAAGCCCATCAAATTCTTTGCTGGAGTTGCTAACATAGTATTCCCCGAATGAATCTTCTAGAAAATATGCATTGAAGTAATAGTGGAATTATTTATATTTGCATGGCATTCCTCAGTAAAACATAACATAGAAAAAACAAAAATATATATGCTTTTGTTGTCTTCAAGATGCATCTGGGGGCTTCATCAAAGCCTACACTACACCATTTGATTTTCTCTAAGGTTATGAGTTTTCCTTTTTTGTATTGCACAATTTGTTTTTAATGAAATGGCATGAATTTGTTACTGGAAAAAAACTTTTACTAAAGAATACTCACCATGTATTAATGTATTTACAATTATTTGATGGATTGAATGCATTATTGAGTATACGATGTTAGGTTAATATATCCTATTTGAAAAGAATGAATAAGGACAAATTACCTAAACTAATAAAAAATTTCTTCTAGATGAAAGCTTTACTACTATAACATTTGTTGCTTGTTTAATAAACAAACCAACCATAAACAAAAAAAGTTATGAAGGTACTTTCAATATCATTGTCATTTACCAAACACAACAAACACATAAATTTCCACTACACCTTAGAAAAAGACATCAAAACTATTCATTCTCTTCTAATTCCTTCAAAATTTCCACTACACCTTTGAAAAATACAAACGCTATGGCTAGGATCCAAAGAAAACTCTTCCCAACAGAAACTACCTCAAACCAAACTTCAGATTGTTATGGCTTTTGTGATCCTTTATGTCCTTCAAATTGTTATACTAACACAAATTACTATTTCACACCCCCACCCTTTGATCATACTACACAAACACAAGTTAACCACATTGGCTCCTACTTCATCATCCTCATTTTATTATTCTCATTAATTTTTACCATCATTGTTTTCTATTTTATCAAAGTGAAATGCTATAATGAAATGTGTGGTTGGAGAATCAATAACTCGGCTCGCTCTCAAGACGTTAACAACGAAGAGCTTCTCAATGAAAATCGTGACCACAATCACGATCACAATCACCCCGTGTGGCTCATCGCTACGGTTGGTTTGCAACAATCAATTATAAATTCGATTACGGTTTGCAAGTATAGAAAAAATGAAGGGCTAATCGAAGGAACCGAGTGTTCGGTTTGTTTGAATGAATTTCATGAAGATGAAACGTTGAGACTATTGCCAAAGTGTAGCCATGCTTTTCACATTTCTTGTATTGATACTTGGTTGAGATCTCATATTAATTGTCCTCTTTGTCGAGCCAGTATTGTTTCCAACAACGTTACTCCTGAAGTAACGTTGTTGAATTCCGAGCAAGAAAATAACAACTTGGGAAGAAATCAAAATACTCAAATGGAGAGTCCAAGGACTGATCAAGAGAATGATTTAAACAACAATATTGTTATTAATGTTGCATTTGAAAACATAATTGGAGAATTAAGTGATGAATCATCTGAATCTAGAAGATATCATCAAGTTATTGAGAAAAAGATGAACAAGGTTAGTGTTTGGAAGGTTATTACTAAAAAAAGTAGCAAAACTATGCGTCGATGTTCGATTGAAGAGTGTTTGCATGTAAGGCCGGTGGCTATGAAAAGGTCTTTAAATCTACAAGGAAGGAAGAGGTTAAAAAAGAGATATGCGACTACAATTTGAGAATGATTCTCTACAATTTGAGAGTTTTTTATTTTTTAATTATACCTTCATTTTTACTATTATGTTTATAGTTTTATCACTCCAATAAATGAATCTGATGACTAATCTAGGACTCAATATTATGAACAACAAATTGAACATTCAAAATGACTCATTTCTCATTATTGAAATCAGTTTTGGTAGTTGGTTTATATAGTTGTGCATATGTTGCATTATAACTACCATAAACTATGCTCTATCATATACTAACTTGTGCAACAAGCAACCGTGGTAAAATCACTTCTAACCGATTTCTAAATAACTAACAACTTCATTGATTACTGTTTGGTTTTCATGCTGTAATATCCTTAGTTGGAAGTTGAGGAAGTAAGGGTTTGGTAAAGAAACTTTCCAACTAAGATTGAGATGTGACAGACAATAGTTTCATCATTCCTGCAACTTAGTTTTTCAAATAATATGTCGATCAATTTCTATGTGTTTAGATCTCTCATAAAAAAAAGAGTTAGCGGTAATATGTAATGCACTTTGATTGTGAAGGTGAGAAAAATATAAGAAGGGGTTGAAATGTGTTAATTTTTTTCTCCTTTTTTTTGTGAAGAAGTCTTATCAAATTTTGAACACAAGGTTAGAATCTGATTCAAATGAGTAGCAACTGATAAAAACAGTTAAGAGATAAAGAAGAGAGAAAGAGAGACACAAGCAATTATCTTGATTCCTTCTATGAAACAAGAGTAGTTCAGTCCCCTTGCACTTCCAAGGTATTCTGAGTTGAGCCCGCACTCGGTCCAAACATCATACAAGGCTCAATCCAACTACGCTGCATGGAAAACCCGACAAGAATGGGCCTTCCCTTAACCTACGTCAGGCAGGATCTACCCCTCACGTCGATGACATATCATCTACGTGTCCTCTGAGGACATCCTTAACACATGACTGTCAAAAAGGATCAGTGGCGCCCAGGTGTTCGTCACGAACGTACACTCCTCGTAGAGAACAAACCCAACGTCTCTCTAAATATCAGAGTCCTCTTGACTTCAAAAAGACCACGTCCACACTTCCCTGGTATTTCGGGGCGGTTCACCTAGGATGGAGATCACGTGCTGGTCTCCACTACACATGTAGGTCTTGGCAGTCTACATTTTGGGCATGCCCAGTCGACCCAACATGGAGACCTTGACTCAGCATTGGGGGCTATAAATACCCTTTTACACTAGAGGTCAGGTATTCAGTCATTTACTCTCTTACTCCCTACTTGCACTTTGCTCTGAATCTCACTTTGACATCAGAGTGTCTTGCAGGTACCCCCTACTTCACCTTCAACCACCGTACAGTTCTAGTTCATGGGCCATTGGCGATCCATTCTGATCAGGTACAATCAGTAGCGTCTATTGTGGGAAACTACTTCCTCGTTTTCCTCTAAATATAAGACCAAAGCAAACTTTCAACTTGTAGCGCCTCAAACAAATTACTATTCGATCAATGAAGTCGCCATCTAACTTTATTCATTCCTAAAAGGAAAGGGGAAATATAGAGAAAATCCAAGAATTAAAATGAAATGGTCTTCGAGACCAAAGAGTGGGTTCGGGAGTCGGTTATGTAAGGGAAAGGTATTAGCACCCCTAAATCGTACTCGATGGTACCCATTTAGTTCATGTGTGTTCGTGTGTTAAAAAGTAAATTTTCAATCTTCTACTTATTATATGATAAAATAGAAAGAAAAAAAAGGAGAAATGTTTTAGTTTTTTTTTTAAAAAGTGGGCTCGCCTTGGTTTCGCAACCGTGAGCCTACGTATTCCCCAAGTGTGATGGAAAAGTCAGAGCTTATGTAGTTTTCGGTAACTAAAATGTTGGTTGGTTGGTTGATTATATTTGTGAAAATAAGAGCTTAATTATACTTGTATGATAAGACTCACTAAGTGATTCACATGTGAGCGAAAGAAGATCGCGTGTGAGCAAAAGTTTTGAAAAACAAACTTGCACGTGGGTAAAGTTTGATGATTGAATTAATTTTAATTTTGGATCACAAGTATCGAACAATAGGACTAACATCCTATGATTCAAATACTAGAAACTAGAAGATCAATGGAGTTCAACGAGTTGTATGCCAATCCAAAAAGTTTTCTTATGAAAAGATGAAGTGAAAAGAGGTTCACGCTTATTAAGATTTTTTTGTGCAAGTCTTTAGACATTTGACTAACATCTAACGATCTAAATACTTGGAATTTATTGTGAAAATATTTTGAAAATCAAATCGAAATTGGATCAAGATTTTGAAGATTTGATTATGAAAATGGCGAATGACGGAGGTGAGTGTAATAAAAATGAAATTAAGCGCAAACATATAAAATAATACAAGAGAGTAATTATCATACAAGTATATACAAGACAAAATATAAATAACTCAAGGAAAGTAAAAATAATAATTAGAAACATAAACTAAGCATGCATATCAAAATATTTTTGTATTTTTTTGAAAATGATCTTAAGAAAAAATATTTTTGTGTTTTTTAATATAAAAGTAAAATAAAAAACGATAAAAATGTGGTGATAAAATAAAGAGCTTGTGGGCCTGATTTAAAATTTGATTGTTTAGGCCTTAACTAAAGAACAAGAGCGTTGGGAGTGTATTAGAGTAATTCGTTGGGCCACTATCTAAAAGGAATCGGGTCGGTCGACAGGTCCAAATGGTATATATATATAAAAAAGAACCCCTAAAGAAGTCTAAATGGTGGATTAGCCGCTGCTAGTTTATGTCCTAACATTTATTAAATTTTTTCCCTTTAATTCCTTTTTAATCAATAAAACAAAACGAAACGAAAAAATTGCGTTCTCTCTTTGTCTGTTTTTCACGCCTCATTATCATCATCATCTCTTTCTCTAGTTTTTCGAATTCTCACGCCATGGATGAACAAAAACATGAACACACACAACAATCAAAAGCAGAACCTTCATCCCTAATTAAAACCATAAATACCCCAGATTTCATTAAATTTCAGAGTTAAAAATTACATGATGAAACAAAAATGCAGCGAAATAAGTAAAAAAAACAAAGAGTATACAAAGATCCAGGTAAATACTCCGCTCACTCTTTCTTTTGTTCTCTTTGTCTCCTTCTTCTTGATTCGATTCGTTGAGGCTATATGTGAATTGAATGGTGAGGTTCTGAGAGGTGAGCGCTTGAGTGAGGTCTCGTTCTGTGCGCGTGTGGAAGGTTGATGTCTTCGTCTGAGTGTAAAGGTTTAGGGTTTTTTTAGTGGATTTGAGGGACTGAGATGTGTATGAATGAGGAGTATTGAGGTTTGAGTGAGAGAGGTCAGAGTTGTTTGTAGGGAATTTTGCAAAGGTTTTTTTTTGTTTTTTATGGTTATTGTGTTTGCAGTGGGTTGAGGGAGTAATGGAGAATTTCGAATGGTTATTGTTGGTTTTAAAGATTGAGTTTGGCAGAGGTTTAGGGTAGAATTTTGGAGGTGGATGAGCATAGTTGTTTATGGTTTTCTCTGCTTGTTGTTGGTTCCATAAGGGATTTGGGAATAGGTTTTATGTTGTGATTGTTGGTGTATATCTGGTCCTCCCTTGAATAAATGAGAAAGGCTTGGTATATAGGATTGAGAGAGTGAGGGTATTAGAGGAATTTGAAAGCACAATGGGAAAAGAATGAAGGATTTTTGAGCTGGATTTGAGGATAAGGATGAATGAAGGTTGGTACAATGGAGAAGCTGAAATTAAGTAGTAGTGGAGTAGTGGAATGAGTTGTGGGATAATGGACATGTTGTGTGAAATTTGAATGGAAATTCGTACAATTTGTTATGTACTGATTGTGTCTATCTTTGTTTTGCAGAATACATGGAGAGGTAATTGTGTACATACTGTGATGATGTGAAAACCGTGTAGAGTTGCAGCAACAATGTTTCATTCATTTTTTATTTAAATTTGTACAGTACATGTATAACCAAATGTAATCTTATCATTTTTTCTTTTTTCCTGTAAAGACCAAAATACTACTTAATAAGTAGTTACACCTATTATAACTAAAGTAAAATTCTGGTATGACAGAACTCAGATGTCCTATGGCATGTCAAAATATCTAATCTGAATTAAATTTACAACAAGGTTTAAACAATTAAAACCAATACTGAAAATCATACCAACACACAGAATTGTTAACCTAGTTCAGTGCAAACCAACACCTACTCTGAGGGCTACCAAACCAGGAAGAAAATCCACTAGAAAATATCAATTCAAAGTTATGTTAATCCCAAATTTACAACTTATCACTTAATCACTACCCTTTGCAACTTCTACCTAGGTCCTCCCTAGATATGAGAAATCCCATCTCACTTCCAATCACCACAATGATGTCTAATAGTCTCAGTCTCAGTTACTGTATCAACGACCTTTCACCTAAATGAAAATCACACTTCAAATACAAAACAAACACCTTAATCAAGACACCCCTTGATTAAGAACAACATACTTGATCTTGCTTCACAAATTTGATCAAGAATAATAATTAGAGTTGTTGAACAGCTTCCTCCAAGAACGATACTCATCTCATTACCTAAAGGCTTCTGAGTGAGAACACAATGACCATCTCATAATCCGAGTGGTTCACTTACACTAACTATCCTAGAGAGTGGCTATAGACTCACTCCTAATGACTACATCTTTTCAATTCACGGCTGGTACAAATCCTAGGTTACAAAGCTTCTATTTATAACCTATTCCCAACTTGATTTAGACCTCAAAAATGCATCAGAGAGACTGCACAAAGTCTACATAAACTTCTCCAAGAAATAGATCTTCAATCATAACTTTCCTAAAATGTCTCTATATTTAGAAAGTTTGAATATCTTGAAAAACCAACATAATATCTCTGACTTATCAATCTTGGGCGCCACATAAGATTACTTAATATTCCCAAAATATTCAGTAATTAAATCACATCAAGTGAATCCAGACTGTCAGCTATAGCAGATCTGATGTCCTATACTTCTCGTTAG